GACGGCAGTCATGGGAGGGCAGGCGGGCGGCTGGCAGGAGGGGGGCAGTGCACAGTCCAGGCTCCCAGCCCCCCGCACGCGCGCTATGGTCCCCTCAGACTTCACAGACTGAAGGTGAAATGACCAAGGATGTGAGGATGGCGGCTGTCCGGCATTCGCGCGCGTTCTTTCTGAGCGCGGGGCCCCGAGTGTCTGTGCCGACCACACGCCAAAGAACCACAAGAAAAGATTTCTGAGCCCGCAGTGCTGACCGACGTTAGAGTCAAGGAATACGGTGATTTGCACTAATCTGCTCACATATGTGGAGTGGAGGACAAGTCCACATGTCATGTTTTAAAAGTAGTCTGTGATTAGTGCTGTCCTGAAGCTTTCTGTACACTGTGACTTGGAAATTAGTAAAAGTTAGGGTTCCCGCTTTCCCTCTCTGCTGTCCCCCAAACCTTGATGCAGCAGGGCCATGTGGCTGAGGTGAGGGGACACCCCTTGCTTGCTTACACTTTGGAATCTTCCACGTGCAAGAATTTCCCTATCGGAAAGCAGGGGAGGAGGAGCGAGCCAGCCCAGAGTATGCAATCCAAGGTGTGGAAGGAAAATCGATTTGATGGAACTGAAAAAGTGGGTCAGGAACGGAGAGGTGGGAGCAGGCTGGGGGGGGGGGCAGCGTGGGCAGGCTGGCGAAGGTCAAGCCCAAGTACCTGGTGGCCTGGAAGAGGGAGGAAGAGGAACTGGGCCTGGAATTACGGAGGACTTTAGAGAGAACTCCTATTCCAGAGGGGGAAATGAGTTCTTGGAGCAAGCAGAGGGAAAACTACCTCCCTCCAAGACTCAGTGTGTGGAACCGGGCTGCCTAAGCCATTGAATGCCTCGCCTGCAGCTCTGAGCCCAGGGTGAGCCCTCTGCATCCAGCTGGGTGTGCATGCGCTCGTGTGGTGCCACCCCTAGCCCCTCCCCTGCGCCTTTGCATCCAAAAGCATTTATGATGGTCCCAGAACTACCCACAGCAATTTGCTATGCTTTTTTTTTTTTTACAAATCCAGAGACATTTGGCGTGTTACTCAAGTTCTCAACTTCTTCAGCCATTCGGGGGCTTGCGACCCACAGCAGATGTCAGCAGGGGACAGCTGTGACCAACCGTTGGAAGTGGCAGTCAGTACTTCAGTCCACGGCTGTTATCGAGCCCCTGTCTTGCGTGCTGGCGCAGGCATGTGTGGAGGCTGCTCTTTCCTCCCGGCCTGGTTGCTTCCGTGTGGTTACAGGACCCGGGCAGGCTCGCTGGCTGGATCTGCTCAGCAGTCATTTTACCTTCTACTTATAAAACAAGAACAAAAAATGCTGGGTTCGCATCATTAGGCAGTTGAAATATAAACAGCCTAAACAGAGCCCCAGTGGCATAGTGGTTAAGAGCTCGGCTGCTAACCAAAAGGTTGGCAGTTCGAATCCACCAGGGGCTCCTCGGAAACCTTACGGGGCAGTTCTGCCCTGTCCTATAGGGTCGCTACGAGTTGAAATCGACTCACCAGCAACGAGTTTGGTTTAAATGGTTATAATCAAGGTTGGAATACCCAATCAGCAAGGAACACATGGGGTTAATTGTGCTAACTTACTAACCTGTAGTGCACGATTTCACCTGGTTGTCACCCCTTCAAAGGTTGGCACACTTCCTGTGAGCCCGTGCATACTGCGGTAACTGGTTAATCCGCCCTTGTTACAATTGCTGCGGGGTGGGCAGGAGGGCTGTTTGCTGATGTATAGAGAGCCGGGCAGAGCAAGAGCGCTCAGCTATCAAGCTTCTCCCGTAAATGTTTGCAAATGCCCCCTTCAAAGCTCAAAAGCCTAGGGCAGAATCCTTGGATGATTTGCTTAGAAGAAGAAACAAAATTGACCTCATGGTCTGAAGCAGCCATTAGAAAAAAAAAATGTGTATAGGCAGGAGACCAGAAAGGGGGAAATTGTTCAAAGTTTAATAAACACAAAAGAGAATTAAAAATAAATCTCAAGAGCACTTATTTACAAACTTGATGGAAGGATGAGATCGGGGCGGGGCAGGTGGGTGTGAGAGATGGGTGTTTGTACAAGTAGACAGACCTGTGGGGCTTCCCCTGAAGAAGAAGGGGAAAAATGAATGAGGTGTTGACTCTTCCCAACAACAGGAAAAACACTCGTTAGCTTTGCTCTTAGGATGCTCTTTCAAAGATGTTTGAAGCTTCTGTTGTCTCTTGATGAGGCCCCACAGAGATGAATGCAGCCAATTGGTTTATGGAAGATTCTGGCCAGGCAAGAGGGAATGTGGAGCTAGAGAGCCCCTCCCCAGCCCTGCCCTGGTTTTCCTGCTGGTCCAGGTAGTGCCAGCATTTCCAGTCACTGGGGCGAGCATATTCCAGGGGAGAGGAATATCTATTTCTTTGCCACAGCTACCTTGTCAAACTGCTATGCTACTGGCACTGGTTGCTGTTGAGTCAGCTCCGACTCCTGGGGACCCCACATGTGGCAGAATAGAACCGTGCTCCATAGGGATTTCTTGGCTGTAATTTTCATGGAAGTAGGTTCTCAGGCCTTTCTTCTGAGGCACCTCTGGGTGGACTGGAACCTCCAACCTTTCAGTTAGCAGCTGAGCGCGTTAACCATTTGCACCACCCAAGGACTCCCAGCTATGCAGTTGTTGTGTGCTGTTGAGTCGATTCTGACCCCATGTGACAGAGTAGAACTGCACCATAGAGCTCCTAGGCTACAGTCTTTACGGGAGCAGACTGCCAGGTCTTTTCTCCTGCAGAGCCACTGGTTGGTTAGAAGTGCTGACCTTTTGGTTAGCAGCTGAGTGCTTAACCATTGTGCCACCAAGGCTCCTTGTCCAGCTGTCCTAGAGGTCTCCAAAAACCTTTCTGCTTTTGTGGATGTTTGCCATCCTGAAAACTGTTCTCCAGCCCTTTTATGGCACTCATGCTGCGGGTTGCCCCTGTGTCTCCATGAATGCTTGCTTTTCTCCCAAACCTGAATGCTTTTGATTTTTTGTTTTTGTTTTTTTGTTGCTGAGACTTCTGGTTTCACAGGCTTACAGGGCCCCGATTCACACAGTTGTTTTAATGTGTGTTGAGTGCCAAGTGCCTACCAGTCATGGAGCAGAGTGTGGCTTGGAACTCACTGCTTCTCAAAGAGCCTGCTTTCTGGGAGCCATCAGAAATGGGGAAAGGGACGGGGCAAAGTCCCTGTGGGAAACAAAGGGCAGGGCTGTTAAGATGAAGAAATATAGATGTGTTCCTAGCAATCTTTTCAGTGGAATCGCCAGGGCATGGGTTTCCCAAGAAATCATGAAAGGTATTTATTTCTATTTTAAGATCAGCAAGATGGCTCATTTATTTCATAAGACGTTAGGCTTGCCAGACTGGATGCCTGAGTCTTTCAAGACTCCGTTGACAATCAGCTCTGCAAACAGTGGGCATTTGGTGAACTCCATGTGTTCAGACCCCTGGCCTAGGTACATGGGGAAAAAGAAAGACCTGGCAAATAGGGTGTCTGTCCTCAAGATTCTAAAAGTTTCATAGGGGAAAAACCAAAATAAACAAAGGTAATGCAGCAGTAATAAAAACATTTGTAACAAAACATAAACAACTATGAACGTCCATGTTGTCATGAAGCTGCATAAATGAAGAGAGGGTAGAAAGTAACGAGGCCACTAGAGTTGGATGGAGCTTTCAGGAATGGTGAATGTAAACTTGCAGAAGATTTTGCAAGAGGATTATAGAAACATGCCTGTAACAAGTGGCCTGCCCAGTCTAAGTGCTCACTCAATGAATGTTGTATGTGAAGACATGGAAGTAGGATAGGATCTGCCTTGGTGTTGGTCTAGCCTGAGTTGTATATTTGACGGCAACACACCAGTTACTGTTGAGTCAATTCTAACTCATGGCAACCCCATGTGTGTCAGAGTCGAACTATGCTCCATAGGGTTCTCAATGGCTGGCTTTTCAGAAGTAGATCCCCAAGTGTTTCTCTGAGATGCCTCTGGGTTCATTCGAACCTCCAGTCTTTCGGTTAGCAGCCAAGCACATTAACCGTTTTCACCACCAAGGGACTCCTGTAGGTGATGGCAGGAGTCTAAAACCATAGCTACCCATGAGCTTGAAGTTGTTGTCGGCAGTTCAAATCCACCAGTAGCTCCTTGGAAACCCCATGGGGCAGTTCTACTCTGCCCTATAGGGTTGCTATGAGTTGGAATCAACTCGACGGCAACGGGTTTGGTTGTTTTTTTTTTTTTTTTTTTTTCCATTTTGACCTGCATCTCTGTGTTTTACATGGTTCAGAACTGAAGGAATCTGTGCTGATTCTTTTTCTTCGTTGACTAGGATTCCTTCCCACCCACGGACATTATCCTGAATAAAGAATTTTAAGACTGGACCTGGTATAGCCAGTATGTTTTGTTTTGTTTGTTCAAATTCTTTCACCATAACTCGGTTAGAGAGTGTGTTTGGTCATACGTGTGTGAAAAACCAAAATCTGGAAGCCAAAAAAGATGCAATACGTGAGCCTGGATAGAGTAGAGTATTTGGACGCCAAACTTTCAAGGAAAAAAAATACATGGGCAAACTGCTTGCCATTAGGAGCGATTTTCTTGGCACATCTGATTAAAGTGTATGCAAGCTCGACGGCTTTCTCCAGGCATCAACTGTCATGAACTTGTTCCAATTCATAACCATCTAGGATTTTCCACCACTGTGTCAGCTTTCAAAGGACGGGGTTAACTGCGTGCCCTCAAATGGAGCTGGAAATGGTTTGTTAATCTCTATTAATCTGCTACTCCTGTAACCAAACGCACATGTGTGTTCTTTGTTGTTGTTGTTTTTTTTTTTTTCTGGTTAAAATGTTAATGGTATTAAATTGGCCCTTGGAAACTAAACCGTTCTGTAGATATTTCCCTTACGGTTTCTTGGGACTATCTCGTGCTTTGGTCCTTTGAGAGAACAATGGATTTTATCATTTTCAACGATTGCCCTAACTTTTTACAGACGCCATCCCGCCCACTTTCTACAGACCCTACTTCAGAATTGTCCGATTCGATGTCTCAGCGATGGAGAAGAATGCTTCCAATTTGGTGAAAGCAGAGTTCAGAGTCTTTCGTTTGCAGAACCCAAAAGCCAGAGTGCCTGAACAACGGATAGAACTGTATCAGGTAACTTTTATTTGGGTTGTTGGAAAGGGCAATCCAGTGTGAGGTCTTAGGGTAAAGTCTTTCTACTGTCTTAGATTTTTTTTTTCCCCCTAAATTATCTGATATAAGCCATACTACACATCCACAGTCATGATAAAAATCCAGTTGCTAGGGAGTCTCTTCTGAGTCATGGCGACCCCATGTGTGTCAGAGTAGAACTGTGCTCTATAGAGTTTTCAGTGGCTTATTTTTCATAAGTAGATTGTCGGGCCTTTCTTTCGAGATGCCTCTGGGTGGACTCGAACGTCCAATCTTTCAGTTAGCAGGCGAACTGTTTGTTGCACCCAGGGACTCCACAACCATGATATAGGATCTCGTTTATTAATAATATTACAGTGACAGCTTGTTCCTCAGTCACTTAGGAAGCAGGACCCTTTAGAATGAAGTGGTGGAGCTCTGAGCAAACTGCTTCAGTGGTGTGAACAGCTGGAGGACCCACCCACAGGAGGACTTCAGTCCCGAAGACCCCCCGGCCCCATCGCGAAAGAGGGATACTGTAGGCCCATTTCCAGCCTGAGGAGAGAAGTCGGCCGACCTGCCTTTCCTCAGCCTACAGCTGTCGCTTTCTGCCTTTCTGTCCCCCTCTCTTCGTTCCTATCATCTTCTCCCTTCCTGTCTTTTTCATTCTTTTTTTCTTTCTCCCTTTACTGCCTTCTGTCTCTTCACTAACCTCATCTTATCTCCCTTTCCCCTCTGATTCTACCCACTCTCTTCAGTCTCCCCCGCCCCCACCCCCACACACCCTTCCTCCATTATTTCTGGCAGCCCCAAAGTCACTTCTCTCTCATCTCTCTAAGTCGTTGCTGGGTGGCTGAGATTTCAGGGATGTTCTTAAACCTTGTTACTCAGGTGGGGTCTACAGAGCAGTATCATCTGCTTCACCCAGGAGCAGTGAGAAATGCAGAACCTCAGGCCCCACCCCAGACCTACCAAACCAGAAGCCACATTTTAAGATGCCCAGGTGACTCGGATGTGCCTTCAAGCACTGCTCTATAGGCCTTGAGTCTGGTGGGGAGGCAGACATGTGAGTCAGACCCTGTCACTGTCAAGTCCACTCCAGCCAGGGGTGGATGATCCAATAGGCAGGTACGCACGGTGCTCACCTCACTTACCAGGTCACCTGTAGTGAGCAGTTTCAAAGTTTTTCACCACGTCCAGGATTCTGCTTCTAGGTCTGGCTGCCATCTGCCTCTCTCCCAACCCCATAGCACCTTCCTACAGAATCAAAGCCTCTTTTAAATTTACAATCCCTGACAGGGACGGATGACCCAGAAAGCAAGGTAAGCACAGGCTTACTTGTGCTTACTTACTAATCAGTGGTGAACAATTTCACTTGGGTTTCATCCTATCTTTTGTTCACTGCCAATGAGTTAGTAAGCACAAGTAAGCCCGTGCTTACCTTGCTTCTTGGATAATCTGCCCTGACTCCAATTCTTGGCGACCTTCTGTGTGTGCTCCGTAGGGTTTTCAGTGGTTGATTTTTTGGAAGTAGATCACTAGGCCTTCCTTCTGAGGTGCCTCTGGGTGGATGCAAACCTCCAGTGTTTCGGTTAGCGGCGGAGCGCAGTAACCGTTTGCGCCCCCCAGGGACTGCTTTGTAAACAGATAGCTTCAGTGCGTCATAGCATCACGCGCACAGTGCGTGCAAGCAGAGAAGGCAGAGCTGGGAAGACTTCACCAGGGAGCTGAGAAGTGTGAGTTAAAGCCGTTCAAAGACAGAGTCTTGAATGGTCCCGTTGAAGTCACCTGCTGCTTGGAGCGGAGGGCATGGAGGTAAGGGGTGACAGAGGAGAAGGGTGCCCTCCAGGGGGAATGTGCAGAGGAGAATAAAAGACAATCAAGAACAGACCCAGAGGGGCCCCAGTGCTAGGAAGCAGACCGGTATGACAGCGTGGTTAGTAAAGTGGGTGTCCTTGGGGAAAAGAAGAGAATCGACATCTGTGGGCAGGAGCTTCTGGTTGCTCTGGAAGCTCATCGTTTGGGAACTTCTGTAATTCGGAGAGGAATTTTCTCTGTATTTATTATGAAAATGGAGATTTACTGTACAAATGAGCATGGCATGTGAGATCTCAGAGAGTAAATTTAAAAGTATTAAAGCAGTTTTGAAGTACTAATTTACAGGTGTGTTCCTGCAAAATAAATCTGATGAAAACGGGTCCCCAAGAACCTCTCCTTGGAGACCTTTAGATCTTGCCAGGGTGCGCTCTGAGGGTGCCGTGCAGGCGGCTCCATGCTTGGGAGGCCACATCGCTTCCCATCGCCTGGCGGAGTCAGACAGCGAGAGGGCTGCCTGTGTTTCGGACGCTACGCTACGCGCCTCAGAAGTCTTGCCTCAGTTAACACAACCATGCTACAAGGTTTGCGCTATGCGGGATTCTTTCTATTTTACCGAGAAAGACGCTGAGTCACAGACTAATGACGTCACTTGGCCAGGGTTACACCACTAGGAAGCGGCAGGGCTGGGCTATGAATCTACTCTCCCAGGTCCCTGCTCCGCACCACGTACTGTGCTGTTCGTGGCGGCTTTTCCCTTCCTCTTTCCCTCTGTGTTAGCCAGGTTAGAAGAAAAATAAGAGAAACTAGGCCAGAGGGTGGGGTGATACTTGGAGGGAAAGCAAAGACTGGTTCCTCTGAAGAAAAAGCCAGATTAAAGGTTGCCAAATAAGTTGCAAGGTGATTTAAAACACACACACTCACACACGTGTATATCTCCTCTGTTTTTAAAACTCCTGTTCAGTTAAATCCCTCTGACATTCCCATCTGTGCTGAAAGTGGCGTCATGGATCATTCTCTCAGGCTTTGGTTCGGTTACATGGACTTCAGTAACCTGAAGGCAGGGTCTCCTAGGTTTTGTTGCCTGTAACATGAGCTGCTAAATCGTGGTCATTCTTGGGCGCCCTGACCTTGTGCTCTGGGAGGGGCCTCTGGCAGCAGCATTACTGTTGACTTGCCTTACTCCCAGAGACCTTTTCATCTCTGGGCGGGCATGTGTCCACTGAGAGGACCTTAGAGAGTTCTTGGTGGAGATGTCCCTTCTCAGAGCTTTTGCAGCAATGCCTGCCCATGGCATGAGCCATGACATCTGCATGGCTTACAGTCCCTCAGTTGGAAAAGATACAGACCAAGGGGGAGACGTGCAGTATGGAGAGGGTGAACATGGGCATTTCCAGGGCTACCGAACCCAGGAATCCGGAAGGAGGTGGTTTTAGAGCAAAAATAAGGAAGAATAACGTCTCCTTATCTCTCTTGAGCTCAGCTATGCAGCAGTCTCACCTCCTGAAACTCAGCCAAGGTCCAGGATGTAGGTCAAAGAGATTTGAGGGCCCCCTAACAGAACAAAGCACGCACACAGCTTACTTGTAAGAAAGGAACAACCTTTAGTCCTTCCTTCACTTCTGACTCGGTTAATTATCTCTAGGACCATAAGAAGCACTAAACTGCGGGAGGCTGGCCCAGAGTTTCAAGTCACAGGATGCAGTATCTGTTGTGGACAGTTGTCCTAAATCTTGCCCCGTGTGTAGTAGTAGATCTGCGGGGCTGCCGTAAGGGAATACCGTAAACTAGATGGCTTATAAGAACAGAAACTTACTGTCTCACAGTGCTGGAGGCCGGAAGTCTGAAATCAGGATGTCCACCATGTTGATTCCTTCTGAGGCTTTGAGGGAGGATTGGTTCCATGCCCCTCGCCTAGCTTCTGGTGATGGCTGGTGGTCCTGGATGTTCCTTGGCTTGTAAATGCGTTTACTCCAACCTCTACCTCCATCTTCCTGGGACTGTCTTCTCCTGTGTCTGGGCTGTGTTTGTTCTCCTCTTCTATAGGGACAGCACTCAGATGGGATTGCAACCTACCTCAATGGGGTATGACCTCATGTTAACTTAATACCATCTTCAAAGACCCTATTTCCAGGCAAAGTCATGCTCACAGGTACCAGGGATTAGGACGTCAGCATATCTTTTGGAGTACACCACTCACTCCATAGTAATAATTAACTCTGTCTGTCTTCTTGACTCCCTACCTGGCCTCTAATATCTGCTTCTGGCTTCTTTATTTGGAGTCCCGTTTTTTGCTTGTTATTCTCCAACTTCTCACTTGCTTTCAGCTGCTATTTGGAGATCTTTGCAACCTCTAGTGAGAAACTCCCTCTTCTAGCCCCAGTACAGAAATTGGTGCTTATGATAAGAACCTTGGATTATGAAGACAAGGCTAAATTGTATTCAGGAAACTGAAAACGTGCAAATATTTTAGAGATGTTCCTATCCGCAATAGCTGAACTATTATTTTGGGAGTCGGGGGAGGCTTGGTGCTTAAACGGGCAGGTCTTCAGCTATTTGGAATGCTCAACTATTTAGCACAACAAAACCTCTGAAGTTTCCAGATACCGTTTGATTACTGTATCACTTGACATGCATGACATGCTACCCCCTAGAGAAAGGTAGGGTGACTATGAATGCGATCTCAGAGTGTTTAGGTGGCTGCATGGATGATTTATTAGGATTCCTCAGGACCTTGACTCTAACCAGGCAAAGTGTCTGTGTGTGTGTGTGCGCGCGCGCGCGCGCGTGCTCACTTATGGGTGCAGGCATGCTCCTGAGCATGGAAGCCTCTGGGGAGCTTTTACAAGGACTGCCCATCATCCTCCCTGGAGCTACTGATTCTCCCTGACGGAGAAAAGGAGAGTTGCCTCTGGGAATATGTGGTTTGAAAAAGCTTGCCTGGTAACTCGGATGTGACCATTTTCCACTGGGAATCACTGATTCAAGGCATATCTCAAGCTTTTTGAGGTCATTCAGTCCCGGGCACTATTTCCAGAGACAGGATACTGGCCTGGATGGACCGAAGGTAGCATTTCTGACACTTTGACAGAGGTAATTGAGGGCTTGTCTTTTCCAGGGCTCTGCGGGTCTGTTGATTCTCCCTGCCCTGCAAAGTTAGGGCACCCTAGCCTCTGTTGAAGGGAACT